ATCATCACATTTGAATAAAACTTGGTACATAAATGCTCTAGGACAATAGACAGCCTGATTAATTTTGGGTTAAAATCTGTTCATATTAATTCTCTTAATTAGCACAATAATTAATAATTTTTGGGTTCTAATCACATTTCAATGAAACTTGGTACATAGATATTACATTACGCAGATCTTATTACTTTTACATTGCGCAGACCTTATTAGTTTTACACTTAAATGTGTTCATATTAGTTACCTTATTTGCATAATTAGTTTTCTGCATTTCCATCAATATCTCAAGTTCAAGTAATTTTGAATTAATGTGTCTCCAATACTCTCAGCACACGGGAGTTCTTTTTAAGCTTTCTTTGATTTTCCCTGCTTGTAGTCAAAATTTAATTGGAGATATCTAGTAAAAGTGGCAATAAAAAATGTATCGAGTCTAGTAAATGTTTTCATTAATGGTGTAGTACTTTTGTGTTGAATATAAACAAATAATAAAATACTCAGAATTTTAGAAATAAGCTGTTACACAAGACGGCTATATGAATTCATATATACCATATTTACTCTATTACATGTAAAAGCATATAGAAACACATATAACACCCACAATTTCATTTAATGTATACGGAATCATTAATCCTTTGAGTGCTAGATATTTTTCCCGCCCAAAAATTTTGTGCAAATATTTTCACATTTTGTAAATTTGCTGCTAAATTTCTTCATTCTTTTTTGACCATACAGAGAGTTTAAGATAATCTGTTTAGTTTTTAGTCCCCGTTCGGACGCAGTCCGAAAACGGGGACTTATGTTTTGCCCTGTGTGCGTCCGTGCGTCCGTCCGTCCGTCCGTGCGTTCGTGATCACCTGTATCTCGAACATGCATGGGCTGATTAAGTTCAAACTTCACTCATACATCACACATTATATGGGACATATGCACATGCATTTTTTTCATGATCCGATTAACAATAGCCGAATAGCGGCCATTTTAAGGCCGAAAATGCATCAAAATCGCACATTTTCACCATTCCGGACCCGGATCTCAGTTATGCATGGACGGATTTTGTTCAAATTTGGTACATACATTAAACATAATAGGACCTTGATGCACGTCATTTTTTTTTTGGATCAGGTTCGAAATGGCCGACTGGCGGCCATTTTGTTTTAAGATTTCAGTTCTGGATCCGTATCTGAGACATGCTTGGATTGATCGAGT